TAACCCCAACTTAACAGTCGAGTTCCGAAAGTTGATGGAAACCAAGTTTGAGATAAGTTCCATGGGTCCGATTAACTTTTTCCTTGGCTTAAATATAAGACAGAGTCAATAAGGTATTTTGATCAATCAAGAGGATTATACAAAGACCTTACTCTCCAAGTTTGGAATGGTGGGAGATTAAAAAATGAAGGTTCCAATAACATTCAGAACGAAACTAACTCCATCTCTGGACAAGCCAGCTGCTGATATGACACTCTATCGTCAAATGATAGGTTCATTGATATATCTCACTACTAGTCATCCATATATCATGTTTTTGGTTTGCTATTGTGCCAGGTTTCTAGCGAATCCTCGTGAACCTCACATGACAGGTGTTAAGAATATCTTTAGGTATCTCAAGCGCACATCCTTATTGGGACTATGGTACCCTTCGAGTTCAGGTTTCTTTGTGCAAGTGTTTTTGGATGTTGATCTTGGAGGTTGCAATCTATATAGAAAGAGAACAACGAGAGGATGCCAATTTCTTGATTGCAAACTCGTGAGTTGGCAATCTAAAAAACAAACTTGTGTGTCCCTATCAACTGCTGAAGCAGGGTACATAGCCGCTGCATCGTGTACCTCATAAGTAATCTGGATTCAAAGTCAGCTTCGTGACTATGGCATCAACATGAAGCGAATCCCCTTGTATTGCGATTCATAGAGTGCCATTTGCATATGTCACAACCGAGTGCAACACTCAAAGACAAAACACATAGCACTAAGGTATCAATTCATCAAAGATCATGTGGAAGATGGAAATATAGAGATACACTTTGTAAGATCCAATGATTAGTGAGCCGACATCTTCACGAAAGCCTTACCTGAACAATCCTTTAATCGCATTCTACAAGGCTTAAGATCATGTGGAAGCGAATCCCCTTGTATTGTGATTCATAGAGTGCCATTTGCATATGTCACAACCGAGTGCAACACTCAAAGACAAAACACATAACACTAAGGTATCAATTCATCAAAGATCATTTGGAAGATGGAAATATAGAGATACACTTTGTAAGATCCAATGATTAGTTAGCCGACATCTTCACGAAAGCCTTACCTGAACAATCCTTTAATCGCATTCTACAAGGCTTAAGAATGATAGAGGCTGAATCCGATCTGAACCACCTTCGGAGTCATAAGTTTTTTATAGGCCTGCGAATCGGTGCGAACGCTCATAGCGACTCACAGTCATCTTTTAGGCATGTCAATTGGTGTGAACACTCGCAACCAACTGTTCACACTGCGAATTGGTGCAAATGTTCATAGTGACTCGTCGTCTACTGCTCATTCGTGGTTTGGAATTTTTGTATCCTTTGTACATTTTTTTTTATTTCTTTCTTGTTTTATTTTCTTTTTCAGAAAAATCAAAAAATTAAAAATATTTTATTTCTTTTGGTTTTTTATTTCTTTTTCAGAAAAACAAAAATACAAAAATATTTTTTTATTTTCATCAATTATTTCTATTATAAAATTATAAAATACCAAAAATATAGCTAATTGAACAGGTTTCAAGGAAAACATCTTGGTGATCTCAATTACGAATGATTGGGCAGGTATAAATTCTGAATCTTTGCACTAGTTAAGTATCCCTAGAAGCATGTTGCTGCATGTCGACCTAAGCCTCAAAGACTTTCTATATAGAAACCTTAATGAATCGATAACACCAATCGTTTCTTCCCAATAAGGATGTTTATTCACATAAGTCTAGAGCTACCTGACTTTTCTCATATCGAGTTAATAGTTCATTACTTAGTCACTTTCACATAGAATAGGTGCATTCTTTCTTTGGAACCACCTCATATCATTTCTCCGTCACTTTCACATTCACAAATGTAACCCTCGAGACTCTCAGATATTACCACTAAGGTTTATTGTTATAACTAATTCTGTGTTTATGATCCTAAATTCGTTATAACCACAAATTGAGTAAAACCCAAAATCCAACACATATATACAAATTCACGGTGAAGAATATACATGTTTTAGATATTTCACCTTGGAATTAATGAATGTCCACTTTCGTGGTCAGTAACAAGAAATCTCTTTTTCTTTTTGTGTAATCTTAATGAGACGTTCTACACCTAAGACGTTTCTTCCCAATAGATTCAATTTTTATTTTTCTTGAGATTTCTATACTTATCCTTGTCACTTAAAATAATTCCAAAGCATACTTGTTTTTATGGATACACTGATCAGACAAGTACTTCACCCGAACGTTCAGACTTATATCACGTTTCGTAGTTTGGTTGAAGATAAAACCACCCTTAAAGCCTAATGAAAAGATGCCTTTCACTATTTCTCAACAAACATGTGATGGTAATTCAACAGGAAACCATACAGACACTTTTGAGTCTCTCTTGACTTCAAAGGAAGAGATCATTTCTTGGGATGCATCTGTTTCGTGTCCGAATAAGATATCACTAGAATCCATTAGAATAATATTGATTTATTCCTTTATCTTTGGCACACTCTCGCACGAAGATCCGTGTGATTTTCCACAGTATGGTTCATGGTTATCATATTTACTTTTAGTTTCGCAAACGGGTTGGTGGCTATTCATTGTGAAAGTTCATAAAAGAATCAACTGAGAAAGCATGTAGCTGACCCGACATCTTAAAGGATAAGATTGGGCGCGGGAATTTGAAACGATGCTGATTTGACGCCACCTGACATACGTCACAACTGTCAATCACGCCTTTTTAGGTGCCTTTTCAGTAACCGATGCTACCAATCAATGGTTTTCTCTCACATAATATCATCAACCCTAAAGTCAATCAAAACTTCATCCTCGATCTTGACCCATTGAAATATCAAGTGTTTTTCCAACCAATTGTCGAGTGCCTGATGTATTCTCCGCTCGTTATCGTGCTTACAAAGTCTAAAACTGTTCCTCTCGTGCATCTCTCAAAGGCCTTCTCCACTGCCAGTTATACAAAAGGGGAAGAACTGATCTCGTTCGAGATTTTTAATAAAAAGACTTAAATAAAAAAATCAAGGTTCTATCAACTTCTAGGGCTACCACAGGGTCGTGACCTAATTGACCCTGAGAGCGTCTCCAACTCTGCAATCCTGGAGATGTTCTACCCGATGGGCTACATGGAATCAATGGCAATAGTTTCTAAGTTCAAGAAGCCTAACTTATCATCAATGTGGAACAGTCTATTCACGTTGATCTTCAAAAGCTTCTTAGGAAGGGTTATTGGCTCGAACTATGCAAGCAAGATCTTCATGGCTGTGATGTACGACATCTACTCCGACATCAAATTGGATTACGGGTCTGTTCATTGGGCTCAGTTGGTTCAAAGGACTCTTTCTACCACACCCCACAATGAAATCTCTTGTGCTCATTTATGGACCATCATCGTTCAAAGGGAAATTAGCAAACCCAGTGTTCCCATCTTGGAAGGGTCTTGTATGGCTTCGATCTATATTTTCCACACAACGAACATCATACTCGTTGATAACTTAAAGTTCAACTTTATCTGTTCCATTCCTGAAGTAATGCTTCGTGATGTTCTGACAGCGAGTGATGTGTTGCGAGCCTATCTTAGCTTGCCCGTCTTAGGCTTTCACCCCTTGACAGATGAAATGAGAAAGGTCCTCGAAGAGGCGCACAAACCCAAGAAGGGAGGCAAGAAGAAGGGTATGAAAGTTGGTCCATCTGAACCTGTTCCATCACGAAAGAATAGCAGTAAATGAAAACTTGATGCAAAACCTTACGAACCACCAAAGGCTCCAAAAAGGAAGAGAGTGAAGAAAATGGCTCATAGACCACAAATGAAAAAACCAAGCGATCAAGAGGATTCACAATCACAAAGAGTTTCAGATGTTCTAGTTCAAACGAAAGTTCATAACGATGAAGATGTTACATCTCCACCGAAGGTTTCAGAGCCGTCGACTACGAATCATGAGGTAACTTTCGAGATTCCTACCTCTATTCTCATCACAAATGATTACTTTGAAGACTTTTCTGTTTCTTCACCCACTGCCACTATCTTCACTCCTATTACAATTGCTCCATGCCTAGAAGTTACCTTGAGCGTTTTGCAAGTCCAAACCCTACCTTTCACTGATTCTACCGCCACCACCACTACCTCAACTATGGAAACTCTAGTGACTGTCAACGCATTTGATGCAGGGTTAGGTGATTCGGGATTCATAGTTAGTCATTCTACTCCACCCATCTCTCCTTTCCGCCAGGATGATCCAGACACAATTTTTGGCGGTGATGACGATGACTTCGCAGGATTCACCTACATTCCATTTAACATTCGGACTGAAAGTTATGATGAAGCCCTCGTCACAAAAGGGCAACTCAAGGCTATCAACAAAAAAGTGGATTCATTGCTCTAATCATTTAAAGCATCTTCTAATGAAGATTATTCTCAGGCAATGATCAAGTCCTTTCTCGAGACCCTCACGAAAGAACACTATGCTAATCTAGAGAAAAGGAACAAAGGGGTAGATGCTTCAGCTTCTGTATGCAACGAAATAACCGAAAAAGTCGATAAACTAATTACAGATGCTCGTTTGTTCATGGATAAATTTCAAAGCTCATTCGAGTCCAACACAGTGAAGGATAATCAAGTTATTTCTATCCTTGGATCCACTCTTAAAACAGAGAAAGCGAAACTCAAAGGGGTTCGTACTGGTCTTCAAACAGACAATGCCAAGCTCAACTCCTCACTTCATCAAAGATCACGAAACTTCAAGATGACTTGGCAACTGAGAGTAACATAATGGACACTCTCGCAGTGAAGGCTGAAAAGGTGAAAATCTTAACTGTCCAACTGGAGAGTGCTGAGAAATGAATAAATGATTTGTCGTTCGAGAAAGCTGTAGTAAAAAATTTCATAGAAGATGTGAAGGCACTGCTTTCAGACATTATTGAGACTCGTGACTCGATGATCACGATAACATTCAAGAATTATCTCTCCGAAAAGTTCAGGCCAGTATTCGCAATGCTCAACCGACTGGAAGGTGTTCCAGAATCAAGCTCAATTCCAAAACAAGGGGGAGAAGAAGTGCAACAATCCAATAAGGAAAAACCCAAACCTTCAGTCAAGCCCACTGTCAAGCCTAAAAGCAAAAATGAACAAAAAGGCAAAGAGAAGCTGATCAATGAAGAACCAATAATTGATAACAGTGAAGATGAAGAGCTTGACGAACATGAGCTAAAAAGAAGAAGAGATCATGAAGCTCAGATAGATGAGCATCAAAGAATTGTTTGCGAGGCTAAAGGGAAGGAAAAAGTTGAACGCAAAGCTCAAGTCACGCTGCAAAGACGAAAGCTTTTGTTTCTAGTGTGGAATTTGAAGCGGATTCTTAGTGAGCCTATGGATATGCCAAGCCTTTAATGGTTGGAACTAGTCTTGTCATTCAATCTTCAAAATACACAAGATTCGCAATTGGATCTTCTGATCACACTGAAAGCCTTCAAGTTTTGCAATTTTGTGAAAGTGGCGAATGCTCCTCCAACATATAGCGGTGCAGACCACTTGCTTTTCTGGGTCCACCTCAAGCATATGAAGTCAAAGTATGAAACCTAGAGCACAAACAAGATAATTGTTGTGATGGTTGTTGGTCCAATCGAAACTGATAGCTTCCCGAATGCAAAACGTAAGGTTGCTAGAGGTTCAACGAGTCAGTTGCATGAGTTTACCTTGCCGATCTTCCATACCTGAACCCATATGATTGCATCATGTTGTACAACTTCTTGCTGAGGGATGAACATAAATACGAGCCCATTATTTCTCACCTCAAACGAATGCTCGTTTCGTACATTCAAGAGGTTTAGAACATGGATGTTGAGATAACTACTGTGTTGCAAATGAAGCCAAGTGTACTTCCCAAAGATAATCCTGATGGTTTTGAAAAAATAAAACTTGGAAAGATACAAAAGGACAAGTGGTGTGTAGCCTACCAATTGAAGGAGAGAACTGATGCAGACTTTCACAAAGTCTGTTTCTTTCTCGACGACAAACATTTATTCATCACTTCATGCCTGGAGTATATCATCGAGTTTGTCAACAAGTAAAAAGGGAACAACAAGGGCAACAAGAAGTGATTTTTGGATATGATTCAATGGTATATCCAAGTTCGCAAAGTTCTGCTAACCATCATTCTGAAAGTTTTTGAAGTGCATAAGCGAACTCAACAGTGAAGGATTCTCGCCTCAATTGACACAAAGGGGGAGATTGTTGGGTTTTTAATGTTGCCTCATTTGGGCCTTTGCTTAGTCTTTTGTATATCTGGGCTAGGCCTATCCATCTGTGATTATTTATTAGGGTTTTACTATTTAAGGTGCACGCATGCATCGTGTATTTACCTAATTGTGTCATTGTAAACCCTACATAGCCTCTATAGTAGTAGTTCTTGATCGAGCTCTTCTGAGGCTGTGACTTATAATCATTCGACCAGGTTTCCCAACCTGACCTACTCAGTTTATATGTATCACAAGTAATGGTATTAAGTCTATGAAGACATGAGTAGGATGTTTAGAACTGATAGGTCTTTACGCTGTAACATATGTATTGTATCGGTTATGAAATCCTTAGGATTTTGTTAGTCGAGACAATTTTTTGTACTAAAAAATATTTTAATGTACTGGGATGTTCTGGAAATATTTAGAGAGCGTTTGTCTTCATACCACTAGAGTAATTCTTGTTAGGTGTGCCTTATAGATTGGACACTACCCAAGAATTTTTTTATTAGGAGTTTGGAATTGAAATTCCTAGTGACCAAGGAAATGTATGAGAATATGCTAGATTGAGCATTTGCATGAGAAGGATCTTATAAGGTGAGTCTACGGAAACCAAGATGTGCTTGATAGAGACGTGAAATACCTAGTTGAGTCTAGGCGAAAGTGTTGTATATGCTTGTTTAAACTCACTCGTGTGATAACTTGCTTTGTGATTTTTAGGTATAGTGACTTGGGGACTGTGAGGAAATTCTTGGGACAAGGATGAGTAGGTGTGAAAGGTAGTAGAGGCCTATAATATCCGAAGCACATGACTCACACTTGGATCAGCAAGAGTCACAAGGTTACTACGACACTAGTAGTTGAGTTTGTTTTGTCTGTTTCCATCATTACCTTCGTTTTGGTGACGACTAGGAAGATGATTTTTATTCCAACCCTAGTGGTCATAAAGAATCAAGTCCGATTAATATAAATTTATGAGGCAAGTTGACTGGTTCAGAGAACCACATCCTGTGTAGTAACCGAATTTAGTTAGGGATTAAAGAAGGAGATGATTGAGGAATTGCAACCTTCGATTGAACAGTTGGCATCTAAGAGATGCTACCTACAATGATGTGGTTGTACTACATTAGAACGTAAAAGAAGGTTTATTCCAAGTTAAGCATTCGACTCATAAGGACTGAGTCTAGCCATTGCATCATGCGATGGAAGGTTATTAGAGCATGACCATTCGATCTGTTACTATAGCCAATGAAAATACCTTACCTTGGGTTGAGCTTATAACCTAGTTTGAAAAGGAGAGGGAGTCTTTGATGAAGATTGAGTTTATAACTCGGATGATAGGACTAAATATCTAATAAAGGATGAATAGTGGTTGTTAGTTCAAGCACCAACAACAACGAAGAAGTCCAAGAGTTTGGCACTCCTTTAACGGAAATTACGGTTGATGTAGAAAGGATGAAAAGATACATTACGATGTTTGTCGTGCATCTATGTCCATGTACTTTAGATGTGTTCATGATGATCATTTGAAGAACGACAATTTGATCGTACAAAAATAAAGGAAGAGAAAATATTGAGTTCAACAACCATCATTGATACTAGTATTTCCCTCTTATATCATTTTCGCATACATGTACCTTGGTAGGTGATTTAGCAATTGTCATGATCTTGATTAGACTACGACTACAATATACAAGAATATAATTTGTTATGGGCCCATAACCCATAGGTTCTAGGATTGATTATGAGTAATAATGGAAAGTGAGGCTTTGAATCCAAGTGGGAGGGACCCAACCATTGATGCAAAAAAATGCGAAAAGTAACTCAACTTCGGATTCAATGTCAAGAGCAAGAAGGGTTGCACCACTAGAAGCTAAGGGAAAGTTATTAGCTTTAATTGATGTTTTGAAGATGGTATAATGGATGTTTTGGTTGGAAAATAGAGAAACTAATATTAATTATCGTATGGGAACTTGAAACCTTTACCTATGCCTATAGGTGACTGGAATGATCTTACCTTAAATCTTATCATCAAGTTTCCAAGGATGTTGTAAAACCAAGATGTGAAATGAGATATAGTTGACCAAGTAATGAAAGTATACCTTTCTAGGCATTACATATATGAAGACTTGATCTATAATTAAGATTTTTATGAAACCCACTATCTTGAGTAAATATAGGATTTGATTATTTTCTGATGATCTTGAGAATACTAATGATAATGTGAAAATAGTTGTAGTCGACAAAGTCGACACCCAAAAGGAATATGAAACAGTTAAGTTCGTAAAACTTTGTGATTTAATCCTTGGTGATAAAAGGATTGTTCATATGTGAAAATTATATAGCGAAGAATAGTTTGGTTCATCGGAATCGATGTTTTGATCTAGGTCGACAATCTGATAAGCTATCATAAAAAGAACCTAGGATTTTTGTCAAGTATTAGACAATATAGTAAGATGATTTAGTATTATGGAAGCACAGTAGGATGGCAATACCTGCATAGGATGGAGAAGTTACTTGTGGGATTTATCCAACACTGTTTTGCTAATGATTACAAGACATAATAATCCTAAGGGGGAGGTAATTGTAGCGCCAGTAAGTTAGGGCGATATGATTAAAGTATAATAGTCATAATTATTATAATTAAAATCCTAGAATAGGATTATTATTCGTCATACACGTTACTAGAGATGAGAAGATGTTTGTGATAGAAGATTGTATAGGCTAAATCTGACTTCGTATGTGGATGTTATGATTTTTTTAAAGTTCTGACTCAGCAGTGCACGACATTGAAATCAAAATTTAAATCGGTCAAGTTTTAGTCAAAATAATGTAAACAAGGGTTGAACATCTTGTAAATATGAACCCGTCGATATAAAGACAATATAGAATGAAATTTGTATGAAAGAGTTATGATTTTTATTTGGAGTTTAACAATTTAAGCCCTATAAAAATATAACTTAAAATAAAGTGAGAATTAGGTGAGGAAGTCTAAAGGAAAGTTGTAATACTGGTTGATAAGTACACGTGGATATAAAGAACATGGAAAATGGAGACCGTATGGAAAATATATGATTTTTAGGAAAAAATGAGAGCGCGCGACACACCTAAAATCTAAAAGGGAAACGCAGACCAGGGAAAAGGCGACAAATGGCAACAAATTTGAGGATTGACATCACCATCTAGAAATTGCGTGCCTATGGATTTGACATGGAGCACCTTCCAATATCCCTATATATTGTTCCGTTTCAAGCCTCATTTGTCACATAATTCAGTCTCATTCTTTGTAAGAAGTTTTCTCTTGTTAAATACGAGTTTTCCCAGCAAAAGGAAGCTTTCGAGTCGGAGGTCTTCCTGCAACTTTCTAGTTTTCACTAGAAATTTTGCTAAGTTAAGCTACACTAACTATGCTTTGAGTGTAACTTATCTGTATATTCATAGTTGTTATTATGAATCTACAAATAAGATTTATCAATGATTCCAAGTTATAGTATTGATAGATCTACTTACGAGAATGATGTCTAGGCTAGATTTAGTGAGGTGTTTAAAGTGATATTTCCAAACAGTATACTCAATATACCAAACGGACCTGACCTCCGATATGATCCTTCCTGGTTATTCCTTATTTGATAGATCTCGATTTATTCATTGAGATTGTTGAGGAATCTAGGAAATAGTATTAATAGGAATGAATATTGAAATGTAGTAATATTCATATTTAGAATGTTGGAAGGGATAAGATGAAAAGATAATAGAAGGGGTAGATTTCTCGAGGATCTTCCACTTATGTCGGGTAAGCGCATAGTTACTTTAATGAACATAAATTTAATAAAAGTATTTATTGAATGTATTAAATATATGTCGAAATTTTATATGTGAATTACATGCTTATTGCCTAAGATATATAATTTCGAAAGTTTATATGTGAATTATATACTTATTTTCTGAGATGTATATTTGATGATATATGTTGTGCGTGTTAGAATAATAAATAGTAGATTGATAGAATCTAAACAGGTATATGAATCAAAATAATAACATAATGATCAAAAGTGTGTTGAATGATTAAAAGTCACTGCCTTAGAAGAGCTCGACAAAGAACTTCTACTGTAAAGGCAGTTTAGGGTTGAGTACAATTAATACTAATCAAGGTGC